GAGCAGGCCGCTGCAGACGAAGCCGCCGCTGCTGCTGCTGCGCCGCAAGAGCCCTCCGCCGCCGCCGCTCTGCTTCCTGCGGAACGAGGCCATCAGCGGCTCACTATCTGAGCCCGTGGCCTCGCTGTCCTGCCCCCCGCAGCTGCCAAACCCGCCCGCCAGCCGCCGCCCCCGCGAGCCGGAGCCCCCCGCGCCCCCGCCGCGCCGCCGCCGCCCGAAGCCGGGGCCGCGCCGCGCGGCGCCGCTGCCGCTGCTGGCCTCGTCCTCCTCGTCGAGGCCGTCCAGATCGCCGTCCAGATCGCCCGACCCTCCGTCTGAGGTTGAGGGCTCGTCGCCGTCGCTGTCCTCGCGCGGCGCGAGGCGCCAGATCACGCGTTCGCTGGGGAGCACGAGCATCTCCTCCTCATCGTCCGCGTACAGCACCCTGGGCGCGGCCAAGGAGCCACAAAACGTCACTCCCTGAATCTTGGGATACTCCTGTTTGGTCAGCTTCGCTCTCGCAGGGCCCCCCCTGCCCCAGCTGCCAACAACCCGCGCCAGCCCTCCGGCCCCCCAACCGTTGCACTCCAGTCGCCGCTGCTGATGAGCATCCCGCACCTCCCGCGCGCCCAGCCCCTGGCCCCCTGCCGCCCCGCCGCAGCCGGCCCCGCCGCGCCCGCCCACCTGTGGCGCCCAGTGGAGGGCTCATAGTCCACCACCTGGCCCTCAAAAAATGCCCCCTCATCCCGCCAGTACACGGCCACGCGCCAGCCGACCGCGTCCCGGCCACGGGGGATGTCCTCGGCTGCGAGGGGCGAGGGGGTTCCGCGGGACAGCCACGGTGTCGGGACCTCTGCCCGCGAGAATGCAGGCCGGCGCGCAGGAGGACGAGCGCGCGGATTCCGCTCGGAACATGCAAGAAACAACGCGAGCAGCAGGGCGTTGCGACCGGGCGGGCGCACCTCGGATGACGCCTGCGCTGACTGCGCCGCCGGGGCGCGGCGGTGCGTCCCACTGCAGCGCCTCCTGCCCCAGGTCTGCCCACTCGTGCTCCCCGTCCAGGTACAGGATGTGGTGCAGGCGGCGCGCAGGGTCATAGGACAGGACCTGTGCGTGTTTTGATAGTGTGTGTGTGTGTGAGTTTGTGCGCGTGTGTGCATGCACGTGTGTGTGTGCATGCGCGCGCGTGTCTGTGTGTGTATGTGAGTTGTTGCGGCATTGCAATAACAGGTGGTCACGATAGAGCCTCCCTGCCTCAAGCCGTCCCCGCCCCATCAGCCCACGTGGCATGCGGGATCGACAGGAGCGGCACCACGTCAAGTGCGGCGCAGCACGTGCGCCCCGCGGGGCCCTGGCGCCATGGCGGGCTGCCCCTCACCTCGCCCTCGTGCCAGGTGCCGTCGCCGCCAAACCACAGCCGCACCCGCCACCCGACCATCTCCCCCGCCGCCCCAGGCGGCGCCCGCGCGCCCGCCGCCGCCGCCGGCGCCGCTGCGGGCGCCGCCGCGACGCCGTCTACGCCCAGCGCTGCCATGGCCGCGTGGCGGGCGGGCGAGTAGCCCGCGCTCGCCGCGCGAGGCGCGTGCCACCGGATGCGCTCGCGCTCGAGGTGCAGCTGCTCTGTTTGGCCGTCGTCGTACTTTATGGTGAACTTGCCGCTGCTCGGGCTGAAGCTGGTGAGCTTGCCCTGGGGGCGCAGGACATGGAGGCGATCGCGTGCATGCGCGGTTTGTCCGAGGCATGCGCACATGGAGCTGCTCGCTGCGCAACGGAAATGCCGCAAGCGCAGGCGGCGCCGGGCTGCCGCCACTTGAGATGCTAGCTCTCAACAATGCCAAGCTTTGCAAACTGGGTGCAGCTGTTGCGATCAAAGCAAGTTCCCCGCAACCACTTGCAGCAGTCGCGAGAGACGAAGATGAAGAGGGGGCCAGTTGCACACATTCACTGCTCCCACTCACCCGGTACCAAGCCCCGTCCATCCGCCAGTGCACGCCGACGCGGCACCCAACGAGCAACGGCTTGCTCGGGTGCTCCACAATGGGCGCCCGCGAGGCCGCTGCGGCGGCCGACGCCGCCGGGCGCGCGTGGTGGTGCGGCCACCCGCGCTGCGCGCGCCGGCGCTTCGCCGCCGCGTCGCTACCGCCGCCGCCCTCGCCGCCATCGCGCAGCCGCTTTCCCAGGAGTGCCGCGCGCTGCTGCTGCAGCTGCCGCAGCACGCCAGGCGGCGTCTGTGCGAACGCGCTCGCCATCAGCGCCGCCGCCTCGGCCCGCACGCCGCCGCCACCACCGCCGCCACTGCCGCCGCCACCGCCGCCGCCGCCGCCGCCGCCGCTCTCGCGCCGTCGCGGCGCGTCGGGCGCCGCCACCGCCGCCGTCGGGGGCGCGCACGGCTCTGGCTCTGGGTGCGGCTGCTGCGGCTGCGCGGCGTCGCCGTCGTCAAGCCACTCCAGCGGCTCGTCCCGCAGGCGCAGCAGCTGCGCGTCGCCGTCGCGGTACCAGATCGTGTGGCGGTCCGTGGCCGGGTCATACTCCTTGATCTGCGGGCCCGGCGAGGCGAGGCGCAGCCAGCACATGGTGCCGCCGCCAAAAAGCATTGTCGGGGTCGCCGGGCCTAGGAGCGCCGGGGGTGCGACGCCTGGACGTGCCAGTTGCCCCCGCGTCGCGCATGTCCCAGCCCCGCTGCGCGCTGAAAGCAAGCCCGATCATGCGGCTCCAAACCCAACAGGCGACCACGCGAACCCATCCCCCCGGCGAGGCACGTGGGGCTCGTAAATTGCAAGTGCATTGTTTGGTGCCGCCGACGCTAGAGCCCCAGCGCCATCGTGACCTCAGCCTCTTCCCCCTCCCCCCACACGCACACGCACACATGCACACACACATGAACAAACACAGGCAACACACATGCAACACACATGCATCACACAAGCACATGCACACACACATACACACGCACGCACACACACACAGGCACTCACAAACACTCATGCGCGCGCACACACACACATGCACACGCGCGCACACACACATGCACATATGCACGCACCTGCCCGATGTACCACCGCTGCATCGCCGGCCAGTATAGCCGCAGCCGCCGCCCCACCGCCGCCTCCCGCCGCACCTCGGGCCGGTGCGACGGGTTGGGCGCCGCGCCCGGCGGCGGCGGGCCCTCCCACCGAAACTTGACGTCTGACAGTGACAGCCACTCCTCAGACCTGCCGTCCGTCATGTACAGCAGCTTGTGCTGCTGCCGCGCCTCGTCCCACCCGACCACCTTCGCATGCTCCCACCAGTTCGAACGCGCCGCGCCGCGCGAGCAGCGGAGGATGGCGCAGCGGCGGCCGACGGCCTCGGCGGCGAACAAGGGGCCCGCGTGGCGCGCGCTGCGGCTTCGGGCGCGCGAGGGCGCGGGCGCGGCGGCCTGCGCGTCTCCGTCGTGGGAGGCGGCGTCGACAGGCTCCGCGGGAGTTTCCACGGAGGGCGCTGTTGACTGCTGCTCCTGCTGCTGCTGCTGCTCTAGCTGCTGCTGCTGCTGCTGCTGCTGCTGCTGCTGCTGCTGCTGCTGCTGCTGCTGCTGCTGCTGCTGCTGCCGTTGCTGCTGGTGATGAGTGGCCGATCGCGTCGGCGGCGGCGTCCGCCGCGTCGGCTGCGAGCGGGCGCTCTGATGCCGGGTGGCAGCCGGCTGCTGCTGCTGCTGCTGCTGCTGCTGCTGGTGCTGCTGCTGCTGCTGTGGCGGCTGCTGCTGCTGCTCTTGGGGCAACACACGCGCCCCATGTGACTGCAGCTCAGCTGGCTTGGCAACCACCACCACCGCAGATTGCCCATCATGTTGCAGCGGCCCCATATGCTGCCGCCCCGGTGTGGTTCGCAGTGCAGGCCGGTGTAGTTGCTGCTGCTGCAGCTGCTGCTGCTGCTGCTGCTGCTGCTGCTGCTGCTGCTGCTGCTGCTGCTGCTGCGATCCAGGGGCTGCCACGGGCTCCCGAGAGGAGGCCCGCCTGGGCAGCTGCTCCCGCCGGCGGAGCTGCCGCTCGGGTTCGGCCTGCTGTTGATCCCCCGCTTGATGCCGGCCCTCCCCCTTCTCCCCACCCAGCTGCTGGTCCCGCTCCTGCGCCGTCTCCCCCCTGTCCTGGGACGTGTGGCGCTTTGCCGTGCGGCCGCGCAGGGCCGGGCCTGGGGCGCTGCTCTGCTCCTGCCTCAGCGCTGGCTGCGAGCCGCGGCCGGCCCGCGTCGCCCCCTGCTGGATGGGCGGCGCCGTGGGGTCGCCGCTCGCGGCGCTGGCTCGCGTTACGCGTTGGTCAGGCGTGCGGGTGGGTGCAGAGTCGCCCGCGCCGTGGCCCATCCGCCCGCCCGCCGCCACTGACGACGGACGGCCGCGGGTGTTGCGGCCCCGCTCGCCGGCCACCCTTCAGATCCAGAATTGCCTCTGAAATGCTACGGCTGCGGGGCGGCGCAGTCACAGACACGGGGCGACGGTGAGGCAGGGGCGAGCAGAAAAGGCGGGATGTTGTGAGCTGGCCGAGGTGCATCCGCATGCGAGGCAGGAGCAGTCCGACCGCGTGACAGGCGATATTCAGTGCCTTCAGGCACCATGAGAGGCATCCAGCAGGGCTGCTGGCGATCGACCAGGACGAGAGGTGCCGTCGTCGCCCCGCGCCGCAACATACGCAGGGCCACGACCCGTCTCTTCACGCCAACTACAAACAAGCAAAAAAGTAGTTCATGGTCGGTGCGCTGGGCCGGGCTGCTTCCGCACGGTATGGCCTAAAAAACCACCCCGTCGCCCTCAAAAATGCACGCACTGCATCGAAAAACCATGTTACATTTGTTTCTGTGCAAACATGCGGCGCAGGGAGCAGGACACGCTGTGCACGCCCACCTCGCCGAGAAAGCGTGGATGCAGCTGCGAACGCCACTCCTGCCGCAAAATGAAAACGAGCGTGATCGTCCTTCCTTGCTGTCCCACACTCGCAGGCTCCTTTCCACCCGTCGTCTCGCTGATCTAGCCCCGCGCGTCAAGCACGCTGAGAAGGAAAAGTTGTAGTGTGAATGATTCAGGCTAGAAATTGGTGGTATCTGCATGCGTGACCTGTCAGGTCGCGGCCCATGCGCATTGGCAGCCCAGGGGCCCGCTGTGGACGCCTCGGGCGCATGACAGCCAGACAATATGGGCAGTGTGGAGGGACACGCCTCATGTATTCCTTGTGATGAGTCAAGTTCAGGTGGATCAGCAGTGGCTTGAGTCCTCGAACCAATCAGAGGACCAACGCAATGCTTGTAGCAGCTCTCACGTTTGCAGCCATGTTTGACTTTCCAGCATCCGTATCACACTCTGCTGCTACGCTGCCCTGACCACCCATGGTTGATGTACGCCCTGTGTACGCAAATGCTTTGCGCGCCCATGAACCGCACTAATGTCAGCCATCTGCCAGCAGGTGGTGGCATTGAGCAAGGTGCAAGGGAGCCGTCAATGGTGCAGAGAGCTGAGGAGTTCCCTGGTCAGCCTGGCAGCTGGTAAATGCTGGCGAGCAGCATGAGCACGGCGGGTTGCCCAGGCCGGCGTGGTGTCCCAAATGGCGACACCCCCCCCCTCCAGGTCATGAAAAGGAACCCCCACCAGCCGACAGCCCCCCATACCAGCCAGACCCACCCTACTTTGGCAAATACCTGGTGATGTTCAAGAGCAGCACATGACCAGAGTGGCTCGCTCGCCACAATGCTCAGTGAATGCAGAGCAGCAGAAGAGCACACAACGCCAGGGCTGCTGGGGAGGCCAGCCTGCGCAGAAAACCCGAATGGCTGCAGAGCACATTGTTTCCCCGGCGCAAATCCACCCATTCTTTTGTTTTCATTATCTCCCATGTGCCTCCGTTGCTAACCCGTCAAACTCATCAGGACGATCTGAGCTTAGAGCGCGATTTGGGACGATGAATCCTTTGAAACCCCTCCTATTGCTGGTCGGGGCAGCTATTGTCCTGCCATGGGACATCGCTCTGATCCCGGGGCCAGTGCCAAGGATCAACCTGCAGACGGAGAACACAGGCCCCCTGGACGAGCCCAACTACACCCGGGAGAGTGTGCTTTTCCCATCAGTAGAGCAGGGACTCCAGCTGGAGGCCTGGGTCTACCGACCGAAGCACCCGGCCGCCAGCCCGCCGCCAGTTGTGGTCATGGGCCACGGCCTGGTGAGCCGCTCACATGCGCACGCGCGCCATGGCGCCCGCCCAGTGCAAAGAGCAGCTGCCGATAGTATTGCAGCACGTTTGACCATTCCCGTGGCAGCCTCGCGGCCCCGCCTCGGGCAGCACATGCCCCCTGGACACAGCCCGTCCAGCTGACGGGGTCGCCGTCCGCGCTGGAAGCCCACCCTCAACCCCCACCCGTGCCGCCCCCTCCCCCTCAGGGCGCCCAAAAGGACATGGGCCTCCACAACTACGCCTCCCGCTTCGCCGACAGCGGCCTCGCCGTCTTTGTATTTGATTACCGCACCTTCGGCGGCTCCGATGGCATGCCCCGCAACTGGATATCCCCGCGGCGGCACCTGCAGGACTGGCGGTCGGCGCTGCTGTATGTGGCTACCGGCCTGTCGGCGGACGGCAGCGTCGACGCGGCCAGGGTGGCGCTGTGGGGGACGTCGTTCGGCGGCGGGCACGCGCTCGTCATGGCGGGGGAGCAGAAGGATGCGATCCGAGCGGTCGTGGCG